ATAAATAAATATATATATATATATATATATATATAATATTATCTTAGTTATTATTATCATAATGTATATGAAACATTAAAGAAGATTAAAGTTTATCTTATTCTAGTTTATCAAAAATTGTTGGTTGTGCTCTTCAACTAAGAATTGGGTTCAACATTTTTAATTTCACTTATTTAATATATAATATAATAATCCACTTCTAAATTATTTGCTGATTGTATTTAAACTATATTCAAAAGGCTGAAATAATTAATTTGACTAAATTATTACTTCCTTTTTTTTTCAGATAAAACCTTCGTGAAACAGATCAAATTTCGGAGACAAATTTTGGCATAAAAATGTAGATGTTTTACGGCATTTTTGTTTCTATGCCAAGTCTTTCATGTTGTCATGTTATCATACTACGTGACATTTGACTTGCCCTCGTTAATGAAGTCATGAAAGCAAGCACCATATGAGACAATTATAATTTATAGTACTAAAAATCTTAAAAGTTGGAGCAGAATGAAGCACAAGAAAAGCATCAGTGTATGATGACACATGCCGTAAGCAAATTTGCCTTAGCTTTCTTGCAGCTTCAGCTATGCCTTTCATGCTCCTTTTGTTCACTTTTTCTTCACAAAGGCATTGCTGCACATAGAAGAAACCAATTATCCTGAAAAATGCACATACTATGTAACCATGCAATTGCTTCCATTAAACTGATCCCTTTAGGCTATTTACCGCCGTTAAGTAACAAATACATTCACATAAAGTCGAGAATCATTTTTGCTTTATCAGTAAGTTACGAATCAAACAATTGAAATTAGATAAACAATAGATAGAAAGGCAAAGAAATAACAGGCAGCTGAAATAACCCACTCATGATTCATTCTATTGTGAAGTAAAAGGAAACATTTGTTTCCTCAGAGGAAAATCAAAATTCTGAGAATGCCATTTAGTATTCATATATATATATATATATATATATTTATTTATTTATTTATAATTGTTGAAGAATTAAGGTAGAAATGTAACAATTACAACAACATTGAGACCAGAAGAATGGTCTTTGCTTTAAGTTGGATCAATCTCAAGCTTTCTCACCATTCCTTTCTGCTTTCCTATCTTCATAATGCTAAAGCTCAGGCGGCTTCTCCATGAAATTATTCCTTGCTTAACCAAAATATACGTAAGTACTTGTTGCATGCAGGAAAGTGTGAGAACCACAACTACTGTATTGTTTTCTTTTGGCTTTTGCATCCTTAAGTAGAACTTCTTTGCTTCAGAATCGAATTTCCGGTTACTTTGGCTAGCCACCTAGCTGCAACTAATTGTGGCAGTGAGTGTGAGACATGAAACTGGTTGTGGAGGTTATTAATGCTCATGATCTTATGCCCAAAGATGGTGAAGGATCAGCCAATCCCTTTGTGGAAGTAGACTTTGAAAACCAGCTGAGCCGAACCAGAACTGTCCCAAAGAACCTCAACCCCACTTGGAATCAGAAACTAGTCTTCCATTTAGATGCAACCAAACCTTACCATCGCCAAACTATTGAAGTCTCAGTCTACAGCGAGAGGAGAGTCACTCCTGGCAGAAACTTCCTTGGAAGGGTAAGGATTCCTTGCTCTAACATTGTCAAGCAAGGTGAGGAAGTGTATCAGATTTTCCCTCTTGAAAAAAAGTGGTTTCTCTCATCTGTTAAGGGTGAGATTGGCCTCAAAATATACATTGCATCAGACTCCAACTCCAACTCCAACATCAAACCAAAACCTTTTTCTCCTATTTTCCCTTCAGAACAAGAAAATCTCCCACCTTCCACTCCTCCCCAAGAATCCTCTCCTTCTAACAAAGACACAACACTAGAAGCTGGTCCCAGTGAAGAGGTTCCTGCATTTGACACCCCTAAAGCAAGCACAGAAGAAGCAGAAGTGTATTCTGTTGCAGTGCCAGATTGCTCCACCACAGAAGCCCGGTCTAGCGGCATTGATATTGATCAAGAGCCACAGAAAGAAAGCAGAGAACCTGTTCTAGAGACAGTTCAACAACTAGACAAGCACCAAGTTCTCCAGCCACAAATGATTTCAATAAAGAGAAGACCACAAGGTACTCCAATCACCATGCACTCGGTTGATCCTCAATCCCAATCTAGCTATCATGAAAACTATAACCACAATGACACCAACTCACAGCCAAGGATTTCAATAAAGAGAAGACCACAAACACAAGGTACTCCTTTCACAATGCACTCAGTTGATCCACAAGTCCAACCAAGCCATGGTGAAAGCTACAATCACAATGACACCAACATGCAGCCAAGGATTTCAATTAAGCGACGACCGCGAGCACAAGGTACTCCATCACCAATGCACTCCATTAATCCACAAGTCCATGCTAGCCATAATGATAGCTACAACCTCATGGGAACCAGGCCACAACAGCCAAGGCTTTTAGTAGAGAGACAACCACAGATCAATACTTCACTCACCATGCACCGAGTAAACCCCCAAGTCCAAACTAGCAATGATGAAAACTACAATCTCAGTGACACCAATTCACCTCTTGGTGAGCAGTGGCCTAATGGTGGAGCTTATGGTAGAAGAGGGTGGCTGAGTGGTAGTGACAGATTCACCAGCACATATGACCTTGTTGAGCAGATGTTTTATCTGTATGTTCGCATTGTGAAGGCAAAAGATCTTCCCCCAAGCACCCTCACTTCAAGTTGTGATCCTTATGTGGAAGTGAAGTTGGGGAACTACAAAGGAAGAACAAAGCACTTTGAGAAGAAATTGAACCCAGAGTGGAACCAAGTATTTGCTTTCTCCAAAGACCGCATTCAGTCTTCTGTTCTAGAAGTCTTTGTGAAAGATAAAGCAATGATTGGCAGAGATGACTACCTTGGAAGGGTGGTTTTTGACCTCAATGAGGTTCCAACCAGAGTTCCACCAGATAGTCCACTAGCTCCTCAGTGGTACCGACTTGAGGACTGGCGCGAAGAAGGCAAGTTGAGGGGAGACATCATGCTTGCAGTTTGGATGGGAACACAAGCTGATGAGGCTTTCTCAGATGCTTGGCATTCCGATGCTGCCACTGTCTATGGAGAGGGTGTTTTCAACATCAGATCAAAGGTTTACATGTCACCAAAACTGTGGTATCTCAAGGTGAATGTAATTGAGGCTCAAGATGTGATCCCTAGTGAAAGAAATCGCCTACCAGAGGTTTTTGTGAAAGCTCAAGTAGGCTGTCAGGTGCTAACAACCAAGATATGCCCCACTAGAACAACCACCCCATTCTGGAATGAAGATTTGGTTTTTGTAGCCTCTGAGCCATTTGAGGAGCAGTTGACAGTTACTGTGGAGGATCGCGTGCACCCTTCAAAGGATGAAGTACTTGGGAAGATAAGCCTACCAATGACCCTCTTTGAGAAGAGGTTGGACCACAGGCCAGTTCATTCTCGTTGGTTCAATCTTGAGAGATTCGGTTTTGGAATGCTAGAAGGCGATAGAAGAAATGAGCTTAAATTTTCCAGCAGGATTCACATGAGAGTCTCCCTTGAAGGTGGATACCATGTCCTAGATGAGTCCACATTGTACACTAGTGATCAAAGACCAACAGCAAGACAACTATGGAAGCAACCTATTGGGATACTTGAAGTAGGCATCTTAGGAGCACAGGGGCTTCTCCCAATGAAGATGAGAGATGGCCGAGGAAGCACTGATGCATACTGTGTTGCCAAGTATGGTCAGAAATGGGTCCGAACTCGAACACTTTTGGACACTTTCAGTCCTAAATGGAATGAGCAATACACATGGGAGGTTTATGATCCTTGCACTGTGATAACATTGGGAGTTTTTGACAACTGCCATCTTGGTGGAGGAGAAAATGGAAGTGCTGCTCGAGATTCACGAATTGGAAAGGTAAGGATTCGGTTATCAACACTTGAAGCCAATAGAATCTACACCAATTCTCACCCTCTACTTGTTTTACACCCACATGGTGTTAAGAAGATGGGGGAGCTTCAGTTAGCAGTGAGGTTCACTGCACTCTCATTAGCTAATATGGTTCACATCTATGGCCAACCCTTGCTCCCCAAGATGCATTACTTGCATCCTTTCACAGTTAACCAAATAGACAACTTAAGATACCAAGCCATGAACACTGTGGCAGCGAGGCTAGGCCGAGCTGAACC